TTTAAAAATTACAAATAAATAGAAAACTTTTTTTATATTAGCTTTTTGTTCACAGAAGGAAGGAAGGAAGCAAGGGAGGGAAAGAAAGAGGAAAGAAGAATCCTAACACCAAATAACCAAATACCTAGATACATTATGAGGTAATAGAAGCTAAGATTTCAATATGATCTTTTGGCTGAGGAGGGGGCATGACGAGCCCACAGCACACACAACAAGCAGATGGTCATAAAGCAAATAACATCCCATCCTTTGCCCAGTGTGACTCAGTGATGCTGCCTCGTAGGCATGGCAATTTGTTTTTATAGAGCAGCTGAAATGTCCCATTTACTTTTGTTTAAACCAAATTGTGAGAACTTTTTCCTCCAGGATCAGAGTTTTCTGAGATAAGGGACTTTACAAGTATAACAATGTATTTTTAATTATAGCAGGCCCCTCAGGTAGTCTGGGTAAATAAGAAGGAAGAATCAAAACATTTATTCTAGCCCCTAAATGGATTGAATCAACTCTTCCTGAGTTATTATGTTACCCACCAGGGCTAAACCAACTTTGGGAAACTTCATTTCACTATTTAGCTGACTCAGGAAGGGCTTTTTGAAACTTCTAGCTAATCTATAGTACAATTCAAAATCTTCAGCTGCTAAAAAACTGCACTCTCCAGTTTTCATTCTGAAAAAAAAAATGTGTCTGCCAGCATTTTCAAAATGCATTTTGCGAGGTGCACATATGTTAATATAAGTATAGCAAAGATTGTCCACCTCGTTGCTCTCCTATTAAGCAGATTTCCCTTTACAATCTCCCACAGAGCCAGCCTCTGCACTGCAGGTTTAGAGAGAACAGAATGGCAATGCTTTCCTTGCCTGCTGTAGCATGACTTTAGCTCTGCTCTCTCCTTCCAATCTCCCCAACACAGCCATTCGCATGCCTGGTATCTAGTCTTGCTCTGCCTGGGACAAAATAAAAAGTCGTAAGAATAAAACACAAGCAAGGAGCTTCAGAATCCCAAACAATTGCACTTTCTAGTTATCATTATCATTATAACATTCATTTATATTTTAAGTGACTATTTGAGTTTATTTCCTAAAAAGAGAAAACTCAGTGCAAAAATAGCAATATCTACCAGCACTCAGTTTTGAGAATCCAAATGAAGGTGGTGGCTGAAACGTCAGATATGATTTTTTCCTAGCAGAATCACATATTCAATTTCAAAGGTGGCTTGTTATATATTTAACTTGGAGTCTCATCATCAATGTAAACTGTCCTGTTAAGTCTCCATATGCACATTTGTATACAGTGTATCAAATGGATAACCCAGTGGGTGCCATGTTTTCCCTATAGCTTGGATTACGCATTCAATCCTGAGCTATCATCTATTCCACTCGCTTCCGTCTTTTACTCCTCATTCTTGAACTTGACAGCTGATCTCTTCCATTCCCTTAGACTCTTATATTCTCTTTATACAAGCAGCCCTGTTTTTACTCCCAGCACCTAGATCTTGATTCCCTGCTCTGGGGCAGGGTTTATACAAAGCTCTGTACAAGATGAGCCTGGAGCATCTTGCAGTACCAGAAAGTAAGGAATTCCTAATTTAAAAAATTTATATATATTTCAAAAAAAGATAGAGCATATCAAAGGAACCAACCTCAAGGAGTTTCAGGGGCCAAAGCTAGGACAATTCGAGCAACAGAATAAATAACATAGAATTGGATAACACAAAGCATAAAATAAACATATATGACCCCATGTTGATATGAATAAATGGTCCAACAAATACATGGAGGAGAAGAGACAAATCTTTCATACAGAAAAATTACAAATAACATATGTAGAGACTTCCCCAGCCTACCTGTTGTTATGGACAAAATGTTTAGATCCCCTCAAAAAACTCATGTTGAAGTCTCAACCCCCAGTGTGATACTCTGGGAGGGAGGGACTCAGAGAAATGATAATCTCACCCAGGTAGAGTCCTCATGACTGGGATAGTGCCCCTAGAAAGTGACTCTGGAGGGCCTCCCTTGTGGTATAGGGGTGAAGCTCAGCACTATCACCACTGTGACCTGAGTTTGATGCCCAGGCAGGGAGCTAATCTATATATGACACAGCAGACCTCTCCTGTCTCGCCCACTGCTCCCCTCAGCAGTGTATTTCAATAGATCCACCTGTTCTGTCCCCCACTCTGTCTCTGCTGAATCCCCCTGCATCTCTGACCTGCAACCCAGTTCTTGTATGCATAAATAAATGAAATAAATCTTTTAAAAGAAAAGGAAAGTGATTCTGGAGAGACTGCTCTGCTTTCTGCCTTATGAGAATGCAAGGAATTAGCAATCTACAAGCCAGGAAGCAAGTTCTCACCTGCCACCTTGATGTCTGCACCTTGACCTTGGACTTCTCAGCCTCCAGAACTATGTGAAATAAATGTTGTTTTTTATTTATTTTTTAAGATTTATTATTATTTATTTATGCATACAAGAACTGGGGTATAGACCAGAGGTTGGGGGTAGTGAGGGGATTCATCAGAAATAAAGTGGGGAGCAGAACAGGCAGATCTACTGATATACACTGCTGAGGGGAGCAGTGGGTAAGACGGGAGAGGTCTGCTGAGCCATGTGGGTCAGCTCCCAGGCCAGGGATTGAACTTGTGCCAAGGTGGCTGGTGATAGGTTGATAGCACTGAGACTTAACCCCTGCGCCACCAGAGAGGCCCCTGTCTGTTGTTTTTAAACCACCCACTCTGTGGTATTCTGTCACAGCAGCCTGAACAGACTAAGACTACAAAAGCAAAGCATTATATCCCCACGCTCTGCTTTATAAGTGATCTGGATTTATGACTTACTTTCAAGGACAGGAGTGTGGACAGAAGGAAAATGAACTTAGAGGAAAAAACTGGCTAACACTTTAAGCAAATGATCAAGGTTACTATCCCCAGTGATAAGTCATGTTGACACATGGAAGCCCTCATAGGATGTGGTAAGAAAGGCATATTGCTATTCACCCCCTCCAAACCCATAATGCAATTTAAGTATGAGAGAAATATCAGAAGAATCACATAAACTGAGAAACATTTTGCAAAATGCCTGAATAATTTGTTTCAAAACTGTCGAGTTCATAACAACAAGGAAAGGATGAGACAGTCACAGACCAGAACAGACTAAGGAGTTGTGATGAATTCAAAGTGGTGTCCTAGATTGGATCATTGTACAGGAGAAGGACATTAGTGGAAAGCTGTAAAATCTGAATAAAATCTGGGGTTTATTTAAGTAATGCCCCAATATCATTTTCTTAGATTTTTGGTCTTGGTTCCAAGGTTTTATAAGATGCTGACATTGGGGGAAACTAGGTAAAGGACATATAGAATTTCTCTATACTATTTTTGTGATTTTTTTCTATAAATCTAAAATTATTCTAGGCTTAAAAAGTTATTCAAAACATTAGAAATAAATAATTCTTGTAATTCAACATTTTGTTCTTCTATGACTTTAATTTATGACTACAGAGTATGTCTTTAGGATTAGGAAGTAAAAAGGTAGATAAAGGAAGAAAAGAAAATGAAGATAGCAGTCATTTGCAGTCTTGGACATATGCTCACATCTGCATATTTGAGACACAACTCACACACCATAAAACTGACACTGTCAATATGCACAATTCAGCAATTTTTTTTTAATTTTTAACAATTTTTTTTAATAGAGGCATGTTTTATTTATTTATTTGTTTGTTTGTTTGTTTTGTTTATACAAGCACTGGGTACAGTCAGAAGCGCGGGAGGGTGAGAGAATTCACCAGACCCAGAGCGGGGAGCAGAGCAGGCAGAAGGACCGAAGTACACTGCTGAGGGGAGCAGCGGGAGGCAGGAGAGGTCTGCGCGCCATGTGGGACCCTCCTCCGGTGGCCGGGGAGCAGCCGGGGATCGAACCGGCGCTGCAGAGGCTGCGGGCAGCTTCGCAACCCAGCGCTCAACCGCTGCGCCACCGGGGAGGCCCACAATTCAGCGATTTTTAAATAAATTCACAAATGTACAAATATCACCCCTAATTCTGGAGCATCTTTATCACACCCAAAAGAAGTTCCATGCTCATTAAAAAAACACTCCCAGGGCCTCCTCTTGTGGCGCAGCGGTTGAGCACTGGGTTGTGAGGCTGCCCGCAGCCTCTGCAGCGCCGGTTCGATCCCCGGCCACCGGCGAGGGTTCCACAAAAACAAAACAAACAAACAAAAATACTCCCATTCCCCTCTCCCCGTAATCCTTGGCAACTAGTCATCTACTGTCTATATTATGGATTTGCTTATTCTGGACATTTCATGTAAATGAAATCATACAAGTGTTCTTTTTTGTATATCTTTCACTTTACATATTTTCAATATTCATCTATGTTGTAGAATAAATCAATAATTCATTCTCCTTTTTGGCTTTGTAATATCCCATTATATGGATATACCAAATGTGTTCATCAGTTGATGGGAATTTTTTTCAATTTCTAGTTTTTTACTCATAGTACTGCTATGAACATTCTTTTTTTAAAAAAAAGATTTATTTATTTATTTATACAAGCACTGGGTACAGTCAGAAGCGTGGGAGGGTGAGAGAATTAACCAGAGCCAGAGGGGAGAGCAGAGCAGGCAGACTGACGAAGTACACTGCTGAGGGGAGCAGCAGGCACAGCAGGAGAGGTCTGTGCGCTATGTGGGACCCTCTCCGGCGGCCGGGGATCGAACCGGCACTGCAGAGACTGCGGGCAGCTTCGCAACCCAGCACTCAACCGCTGCGCCACTGGGGAGGCCCAGCTATGAACATTCTTGTACAATTTTTTGGGTAGACTTATGCTTCCCTTTCTTAGGATACATACCTGGGAGTGGTAACTACTTGGGATTCTATTACTGCTCAAATTCCAAAATGAATTTAAGGAAATAATTCCTATTTTCTAAAGTTAAATGCTGACATTCATGACTGAAAATATATAATGGATTTGCTAAAATAAAAAAAATGGAGAGGCTGAGTAGTGATAAATTCAGACAAAATAGGATTGACAATAATTGCTATTTGCAGAACTGACACATGGGTTGATCGTGCCATTCTCCACAGAAATCTTTAGTAAAAGACAAAAGATTTATATGATTTTAAGACAAACCAGAGTAACTATAATTCCCTTTTATTGAATACATTTCAAGAAATTTTAATGGAAGAAACTGATGCTCAGGATTTCCTATAGCTTAGGTTGCCAAGAAAAAAAAATTTAAAACTACCATAGATGATTATAAAAGAATGATCTCCCCCCAATCATAGGAGCAATACCATCTTTATATAAAGGGAATTTCTTTAATTTGGGAAAAATAGCCTTTATGAAAAAAACTCATTGCCTTGTCTTTATATTTTTCCCTCAGGCATGGACCAGTCAGGATCCCCAGCCTGGCTTTGGGAAGCACTGAATCAGACCACAGTTCTGAGAAGTTAGAACCACAAAGGCTCAGGTGTATGAGTGATTCAGCCTACTTTTTGACAGACACAAAGAACAATAGCACAGGTAAGAGGAACTAGATGTTCTCAGGTGGAATTCTGTTGTTGCCAAGCTTCTGTCAATAAACCACAGAGTGTTGGGCTATACAGCCCTAGTAAAATTCCAGCATTATTCACAATATAGTAAATGAAGTAGCTCATAATTACCAATTAAATCGATGGAATTGTGAGATGGGGGAAAACAAGATGGGAAATGGCTACGGCTGTTGTGAATTTTTATTAGTTTTTTTATTATTGAAATGTGCATTTTAGCAAGTTTTGATTTCAAGTCTTTAATTGAAAATTAATACAAATGGGAGTAATGTACAAAAGATGAAATGTAGCAGTAGAGATCACTCATTTGTAAGATCTAATGTACTGGAACCATTTGAGTTAGAAACCTCCAGTACTGATTTTGTAAATGTTTTGAGGAAAGCAAGGATAATTATAATTGTCAACTCAAAGAACCTTAAAAATTGGATTTTATCCCTCTTTTTTTACTTTGGGCTAGTAATGGCCTCTAGACCAATAAGTTAGTGTCTCCACTGACTCAAACTTTAGACATTTCTTCTAAGCAAGGTAATGATAAGAGTTATAAAATCCACAAAAGTGAGTTGAGACATTTTCACATATACGTATGTATGTATATCACTGCCATCCAAGAACGAAATTGATATTAAACCAGCACAACTTAAACTTATCCTATATTTCTTTTTATTTTTAGCATTTAGCTAATAACATATCTTCTAGGAGATCCTCTAAACATTCATATTACCCCCTCTAGCCCCATGTTTGGAATATCAGGTATCATAATCTATAATCAATAATTTTGAATTTACAAAGTACTTATTTTTGAATGAGTGATTCCTCAGTGTAATCTTGCAAAATTCATCAGTGATAATCCTTCCATTTTATGATTGAGAATTATGAATTATAGAGAATTTCAAGGATTGTTTAAACATCTATGTTCCTAACAGCTTCCCATATTTCTCTCTCTCCATGCATTACTTTTAGCCTACTATCCTTTTCTAAAGAGTTTGAACCACATTCAGTCAATCAGCAAATATTTACAGGGTACTGATGAAGTTTTAGGCACTGTTTTGTTGTATAGATACAGCAGTGAATAATAATAGAAGAAAAAATTAAAAGGTATTTTAGCTAACTCTTGAATGTGAAAGAAAGACAGTCAAGATTTAGAGAGAACAGAACAATCTGCATAGAAGCTCAGTAAGTTCAAGACAGAAGGGAAAAGCCAGCATAACAGTAAATTTACAGGGCTGAGCATTATCAGAGCCAGGTCATGCAGGGCATCATCCAAGGTATAAGAGTTTGCAATGGGAAGCCACAGGAAAGTTTTAAGTCCAGAGAAGAGGACCAAACTATCTTTAGGGAAATGTAGCGATTTTATTTCAGTGATCACATAATTCAATACTAATTTAGTATTGCAGTTATTTGACCTTATGCTTTATATTTAGTTCTTGGATTTCTCTTTTGTTCCCTGAAAACTACTTTGACTCCATGCGACCTAGTCCCACTCTAGTTAATACTTTTAAATATGGATCTTTCCCTAGTTTTTCTAACCTATTCAAGGCTGGCGTCATGCTGACTAAGTCCCCATCATGCAGTTGGCGCTGCTGTCAAGATCCTGCCTTGCTGGACCACTTGGGCACTTGACTGGCAGTTGAATTGTCAAGTTCTACAAATAGCTTATTTGCCTGCTTAGCTGGACACCTTCCCCATCTGTTTAGAATAGTTCTAAAGTACCAACTTCCCACCCCTCCATCCAACAACCTGGGTGGGCAGGTCAAGAGGTTAGGACTATGGAGCTTAGTCCATTTTCCTGGGGCCTAACCCCCCTGGCTGTCAGGCTGTCTCTTGAGCTTAATTTTTTTTTTTTTTTTAAATACAACTCACACGTAGAGGCACAGGCAGAAAACCAGATGGGATTGCCATTCAAAATGCAAGAATTCCCTAGATAAGCTCAGTCACTGATTCTTTTCCAAAGTTAATAGCATTCTGCCCTGTGAATTTAGCATTATCTAAGTAAATAGTTGTTAGAACTTTCCATTATTGTGACATAGAAATAATGACTGTATTTTAACTATTTCATTGGATTAAATGTGAACATTTTAAGATGCAAAAATATAGCACTTAATTCCATAAATCTTGTGATATTCAAAGAGAAGTTATTTCTAAATTCAGAATATTAGGACTAAAAATCTGAGTCATAATTCAGCGGCAGTGGATGCATCAAAGACAGGGTTCTTTGAGGTCAGGGTTGAAGCATTTTGGCAGCCAGTGGCAAGTGCCTGTGTCCACAGATCATACCTCCCTGGACACATTAGAGTCACTCTGGATAGAACATTAAAATTGTGGGGCATGGGGACAGGTCATGACTCTGGAAGGGGCTAACCAGCCTCATCTTATTCCTGTTTTTTTAGTAAAAGGGAACAATGTCTGTATGTTCTGAAACATGGTAGATGGGGAAACTTCTCTAGAATCCAAATGTTTGTTAAAATATAAAAGCATTTGTCTTTCAATTTTCCTCCTAGTGTCTTCTCCTTTCCCCACTTACAGTTTTGCTGAAGCAACAGCAAGTGTCCCTTCGCCATATACAGATAAGCAATGTTGCCAAGCCACAGAGAGTAAGTGGCATCTAGAAGGCTAACTGAAACAGATTTGTCAGGTCATGTCTATGCCATGGTGCCCAAGTAGCACTTGAGACCCACTGAACCAACCAGAATACCATGGAAGAGTTCAGGATGGCAATCCTTTGGGGAGATGAACTTCAGGAAGTCAATCTTGCTGACTTTAACAATATTAAAGCCTGGAAAGTATTAATAGTTGATCGTTTAGCAAAAACAGGAGGGAGCCAGAGAGTGGAGTTGATATTGGTAGAAAGAAATTGTCCTTGGCAGAGAGAGGAGATTCAGGAAGAATTTAATGTTTGAACTGGGAGGAAATAATAATAATATTCATCATCTCTTTTTGTCATGCCTCAAAGCCTGAAGAATATAAACCATGTATAAATTGCTTGTGACATTGCACTTGTTTTAGACCAACTCGCTGGAAGAGACATGAACTGGTGAGGGCTCGAGGGGGCCCAATATAGGGGAACCAAATAAGACATCAGTGTTAAAAAAAATAACAGTATAAAACACAACAAAGCAAAAAAACAGACAATTATAAACCAGAGACATCCTGCAGGGGAGGAGGAGGGAGAGGGATCAGAGGGAGGGAGGGGGGAGCACAGGGGACTGAGGTGATGGTGCACGGGTGCATTGGGGAAGGAAACTCTATGGGGACTACACGTGAGGGGTGGGGGATAGAAAATATTGTTTAAAAATGAACAATGATGTGGGCCTCCCCTGGTGCCACAGTGGTTGAGCACTGGGCTGCAAAGCTGCCCGCAGCCTCTGCAGCTCCGGTTCAATCCCCAGCCCCCGAAGAGGGTTCCACATGGCGCACAGACCTCTCCTGCGGCCCGCTGCTCCCCTCAGCGGTGCATTTCGTCAGTCATTCTGCCTGTTCTGTTCCCCGCTCTGGCTCTAGTGAATTCTCTCACCCTCCCACGCTTCTGACTGTACCCAGTGCTTGTGTAAATAAATACATAAATCTTTTAAAAAAATGAACAATGATGTAAAAGTTTTTTAAAAAATTATTAAAAAATTAAAAAAGAAAAGGCAAAAGAGAAAAAAGGGAAAGAGAAAGAGAGAGAAACCCAGAGAAAATAAGATGCATTTCCTTTGTAGTCTTAGTGAAAGGAATATTGGGGTTATGTGACACCCAGGCAAAAAGCCACACAGAAAGAATTCTGCAGCAAAAGCAGCAAGCCTAAAACAGATGCTCTGTTCTAGGTGAGGCAAAAACCAGATAGACTGAGTGCTCAGACCAACCACAGTAACTAACAGTAAGGACATTCTCTTTGCCTTGAACAGAAACTACAGCAAAGAAGAACATGTTTCTACGATGACAAAACAACAATATAGCCTGCCATACAGACAAGGTGAATGTATATGAAGAGTTTAATTTTTCAGGGTGTATTAATAATTCACCTGCTCATTAGGTTTATTAGACAAGATTAAGCCTAATTGGAACAGAGCAACCACAAGGCAAATTATTAAAATAACTGATGGGACTTACTTTTTTGACTTTAAAAGACAAAGTCTAGCAACCCCTGATACTTATATGTCTGATATATGTCTAATATGAAAAAGGAATGAAGAGTTTTTGGTCTCCAAGAACTAGAAAATGTCTCTGTGTGGATGATTCAAGGAAAGAGTGGATTCTTCGAGTGCTGAGGTAGGGTTTAATTTGGACCATGTTGAGGAGACAATATTTTCAAAGTGGATGTGTTTCTCTGATGGGGGATGTTTATTATGAGAGAGGTTATGTACATGTGGGGTTAAGGATCCCTGGGAATTTTCTGTACCTTCCTCTTAATTTTGCTGTGAACCTACCGCTGCTCTAGACAATAAATTGAATATTATGTTTCTATGTATTAACATTACAAGTCCTTTCTCCAGCACACTAGGCCTCCATATTGCTACTTGCAACCCATGCCACAAGTCATCAGACCACAGCAATGTATGTGTTGGAATACATTTCTAAAAAATAACTTTTTAAAACTATATTTGACCTGA